AAAAAAAGAAGAGGACGAGAGGGGGCTGGGTCGGAAAAAAAAAGAAAAAAAAAAGGGGGGTACGTCGCGGCGCCGGGGGCGGGCCCCGGGCCTGCCGCGGGGGCAATGGCGAAGCCGAAGCAGAAAGAGAAAAAAAACCAACCGGCCCTACTTTTTCCCCTCGTAATGCGCGGAGCCGTCGCCTCGCGCAGGGTCGTCGCTGGGCTCGTCCGCCGCCACCGGCGTGTCGGGCAGCACGCCGCGGTCCTTCAAAAGGCGCTCCACGAATTCGGCCGGATTCGGCGCGTCATAATACGGATACGCCCTCAGGCGGTAGGTGGACGGGTCGACGGGGGTGTCTGTACCGATGCTCGGGGGTGGGGGAACGACCGCGCTAAACGGAACGGCGCGCCCCGCATGGAACTCCATCTGCCACCCGGGAACGTCCGCAAAGTCTATTTGCACCGGCCGCGTCGTCGTCTCGCCGTGAAACGTGACATAGCCGTACGCAACCCCCTTGTTGCCATCACGGCTGAAGTCCACGGCGGAGAGTGTGACGTACTTGTCGTACGTCCCTTCTTGCCACTCCTTGCGGTAGAACCGCTGCCCGCGCCCATTAAATTCCACCTGGGAAGCCAACTGAAAAATGTTCTTTCCCGTCGACGTGTTGTACTCGTATGTGGCCACGGTCGCCCGCAGCACCTCAAGCGGATCCACTTGCGAGGCGCGGTCGGTGTTTTCCACATCCACCAATTGGGCGCCATCCAACACCATCTTTTCCTTGGCGTTGAGAACCGCGCCTGGGACGTATTCTTTTGCGGCTGTCCATGGCATGCGCTTGCGCTGCGGCCCTGGGGAAAGCTTCATTCCTTTTGAACCCAGGGTCATGGAGCTGCCGCCGTTTAGCGCGTCCCGGCGCAGGGCAACGCGAGCCAGACGCAACATTGAGGCGTAACAACCTACTGCTTTCTGCGTCGTAAGAAGGAGTATTGGAGAGAAAACGTTTTCCCAAATACCTCAGCAAAACAAGTCAGCAAAAGGGAAGGGGTGCGGTGGGTTGTGGAGCGCGCGCGCCCCACCATCGCCCTTTATTATGATTACCATTGCCGTCGTCATAGCGCAGAAACGAAAAGAAGAAAACAGCCTCACAGGCGCGCACGCAAGAAAACAAAGGCAAAAGTTGGGCAACGCAACTAATAGAAACAAACGACGGGCATCGCACAAGGCACGTCGCGGAGAAGAGAGGGAAGTGGGGGAAGTGGGGGGGGGGGGGCGGGGAGGAAATGCACATACCCCTCGCGAAAACAACAAAAGAACTGCAATCAGAAACACATTCATTCGCATTATATTATATTATATAATCCAATCTAATATGTGTGTCTCGCTCTCCTTGCTTCCGCGGCTTCCTGCGTTTGCCTGGCCGCAAGCGCTTATTACCGTAGACTGCCAAGTTTCTCCACAAAGGCGTCAGGGCGCAGCATAGAGGTTCCACCAATGATCACTTCACGGCCGTACTTTTTAGCGATCTCATACGCGGAACTCCCCTCACTGCAGGTCACGCCACCCAAAATAAACAACACTATGCGTTGAGGATTTCTAAGGGTAATGGTCCCTCCACTACCACCTACATCAAGAAGCTTCTCCCCTTTGCCCTTATTCTTTTGCAATGGCTCCCCATTAGTTTCCACCGCCTCATTGTGGTTGTTGCCGCTTGCTCCATTTTCACCTATTGCATAATCACGCTGCATGGCTGCCAAGGACAACCCAACCCACAAAGTTTTCTTCTTCCCCGAGGTGTACACTGGCGCCTCTCTACCTACAGCAGATGCCCTCGCCTCGTACGGAGAGCTCATCATGGGATAATCCGACGTATTCAGTGTATTCCTTACTGCAGATTCCATAATAGCATAAGCCTGATTAACAAAAGGATCGCCATCTGCCGCCAATTTAGTGAGAGAAACACCACTGTCTCGTTCGCTACGCTCTGGTGTTATGCCGTTGCATCTAATTTCCCCAACTCGCCTCGTCAGCTGCTCAAGATTCGCAAGCACATTAGCCCTGACCGCCAGCCCGCTGCCTTGAAATAACTGCTGCTTTTTGGCCTCCGTCAATTCCCCTGTGTTGCTCGCAGCTACAAACAGCAATAAAAGGCGCATGCGCACCGGTTCGGGTATCGCAGCATCCTTTGTCAAGCGCCGCACATTTTCAAAGTTCACCTTGAAGGCTTTGCGCCCAGCGGCAATGTCCTGCTCCACCTCACACACCTCTGCAAGCCGCTGCTCACGGTAAAGAGCCATAATTTTGCTGCAGATGTCGATGTGCAGCGAAAGTTTTGCCTGCTTTTCCTGAAACTCCAGCAGACCCCGCACCGCCCCACCCAACTCCGCCAGATCCGTCTTTTTCTCCATCCCCTGGGCCAACTTCGGGTGCTCCGCGTGAAGCTTCTTCAGTGCCGCTGGGAGCTCCTCCAGGCACTTGGCAAAGAAGCAATGACGGTAGGTGCACCAGTACACCTCCCCCTCATCTATCACATACTGCCGTTTTGCATCCTCCCCCGCACGATTCTTGAAGGCCTGCACGTACACGCTATCTTCCCGCGGCATGAGGTCGTCAAGTAGACATTGATAGGTGCGCTGGTGCACCAGTGGCGTCACCGTGTCGAAGCCTCGATCAAGGATGATCAGCAGCGGCTTACCGCAGTTGCTTGCTCCATCGTTGAAGTCGGGTTCTTCGTAGCAGAGTTTGGCAAGCTTTTCAGACAAGGTCTTGGCAAACTCGTGGCAAATGTTGCTTCGGCTTTGGTAGCGGATAACAGGCGCCCCGTTATTCATGGCGTGAAACACCGACACCAGCCGCGACGCTGCGACGTCCAAAACGGACTCGCGAGTTTGCAATGGCGGCGATGATAAGAGCGGTGCAAACTCATTCTGCATGCTTAAGTGAAACACCAGCGACTCAGGGGCGCTGAATTCCAGCATCATATCCTTGAAACTCATCACCTTGCGCGCTATCCGGGCCTGTGCGAGTTGCTGCATGTGGTGCTCCGAGGTGCGGCCAAGCGCGAAGATGTGTGCCTCTGCGTAGGGGTCCTTTGACGCCCAGTCCTCAATCACGCGCCTCACAGATGTATCGTCGGGAACAAAAAAATAGAGCGCAGGACTACTAATAATTGGCTGCCGCGGCGTCATGAGGTCCTCCAACAGAGTCACGCCATGCTCCATGAGGTCATGCATACGCAGAACGCTGTTCAGCATGGCCGCCGCGTGGGAGTCGCAGATAACAACCTTGAACGATCCAGGGACGGCATCAAGCATATGGTCAAAAATATATTTCCGCACACAACCCCGAATGCCATGGCTGGGCTCATGCCGCTGCCGCTCCTCCGTCAAAGATGACCGCACGAATTCACTCCGCATAATATATCGCGTAGGAATCACAGCAACGACGTCTTTGAATGTGCGTATTTGGCTGTATGTTTGTATGTCACTCGGCTCAATGTGTGTGTGTGTGCGTAAGAGATGTTTTTTTTGACTCGCTCAGGTAATAGTGACTGACGACGGAGACACAAAAAAGAAGCAAAAGAATATACACAAGAAAAAAAAAAAAATGCAAGCGCCCGCAGGAAACAGGCGTCCCCATCGGAGGCAACGGAACAGCTGCAGTCAACCAAAACCAAAAACACTAACAAACAGAATAACATAAAACAAACCCTGTGAAGCAAAGCCGAAGCGCGGACGCGTCCACCGAGCAGTGGAGACGCGCAGCAGCAAGCGGAACGACCAGCGCGCACACACACACGCTCTTTCTTCCCTTAAAGCCCAGATCAGGAAGAGAAAGAGATAGGGAGCTCGCCCACTGAAAGAAATGAAAACAAACAGTAAAAAAAAAAGATTAAATCTGTTACGGTGCTGTTGATGTACCCATGCAGCCAGGCAGGACGGCAGCGGCCCCTCAAAAGCAAAATAGTTTAAAAAAGGAAACCCAACGGGCTGCATGAGTGTGCGTGTATATATGAGCACATTACGCGTGTGTCCCGTGGGGTGGGGCGAGGGCGAACAATAGTGCATGAGCACACACACAAAGAGAGAAACAAAGAGAAGGACGAGCTGCGCACAGCCCTCTCTCTCTCTCCGTG